GTAGTTGGTAAGGGTGTAAACACTCCGAACATACCTTACCCCTTAATCTCGTAAAACATACCAATAATAAAAGCTCTTTTTTTAGAAATATATTAAAATTATTTACACGCCATTTCAGTTCGAAATAAATTACTGATAGGCATTAATAAATCTTCACCCCTCTTGGTTATCCTTGAACTTTTTATTATTCTCTACCGCACCTTCCTCTTCTTTTCTAACTTGTCACTTCTAACAATTCACTCATATTTTATCTTATCTAAAACAATTTATAAAACTTTCATCTCGAATTTAATTGCTAAATCGAATATTTATAAATAAATTGCAGGAAATCAGTAAAAATACGTGATTCCAAAGATTTTAAGTACGTGAATAGCTCATTTTTCCATTAATTCTTTTTAATTTAATCCAGTCAAGAATACTTCTAACCTACTCGAAAGGAATGAGTGAATAACACCACTAAACACTGATAGTTGGTCATGGTTTCGTGCCTTACCAACGGGCTAGCCTCTTGATTTCTTCGAGTTTCCAACATCTAAATAGGGAGCAGTTTTCCATTAAATGTCATCCCCTGTTGATGGATTTTCCACGTGATTGTGTGAAAAAATGTTTTTTTTTAATAAATATATTGAGTGGTAATGAATATATTTGCAAAGACGAAGGAGTAATGATGAATATGCAATGAACCATAATATGAATTCATAGCTGTTGTATCACGAAATCTTATCGGTTTCCAATAAGAGTTCGCTGTACAACAATTGTTTACAACGTGGTTTCGTGGATTAGAAATACCACAAAATTTCAAAAAAAAAAAAATTTAATAATATTTCTTAGAGGTTAATTAATATAATAAATTACAACTCTTCAACGTCGCCATTAATACGAGGGTATCTTCGATTGGGCACTCACTCAAATATTGTGAGATTAAGCCATATTACTTTTCTTCATATGTAACGTCATTGAAATGATTGATTTTTACTGATTTCCTGCAACTTTTTTTTTTAAAAAACTTTTATTTAAAACTATTCGATTTAGCAATTAAATTCAAGGTTAACTCTTTTGATAAGATTAAATATGTCTGGATGAAATTCATTGTTATAAGTGACAAGTTCGAACAGAGAAGGTGCAGTAAAGAATAGTAAAAAGTTCAAGGATAATCAAGAGCAGTGAAGATTTATGAATTAATTTCTATAAATTCTCTTCTTTACTAAATTTTCTTGTAAAAATTCCCATAAGAAATTTTCTATTCGGCATCTTAATTATATAATTTGATAAATTATTAAATAATTAAATTGGTGTTTTTTTAATTAACTCTTTATAAAGATTAAGATATAATTTATCTACATGAAATTAACTCTTATTTAGGTGTTATATACGTGAGAAAACCCAGAAAACTTGGGATTTTTCCGGCATTCTTCATTTAAATACGGACAATTTCCCATAGAAAGTACTCTCAGAATGCAGCCCCTTTGGTAGATCTTCCACGTGTTTCTTTTGTCTTATCTCAATAATCTAATACTGATTTTAAATTTTATCGTTTATAAAATTAAATTAATAATAATTTTCAAGCAGAATCTTGTTGTAGATCAATAAGTACGGATCATAATTCAGTGATCCGTACTTATTGATCTACAATAGGAAAACATTACAAACTGCTGTTTGATATAAAATAAATTTAATTTCCTTATTAGATAAATATGAATGTAATTTAATCTATGTATATGTTACCGCTAAAGCTCGAAACTCGTTAATCTTCAGATTACCTAGCTAATCTGCAGATTAACTAGCGTGATCCGTTAAAGTTGTGGAAATTGTTAAATTTCTCAAATTACCTAGATAATTTGCATAGTATCTAGGTAATCCGCACATTACCTACTAGGCACTCGGTAAAGTGAAAATAAGATTTTTGCCACAAATAAATTTACCACAAATAGGAGTGCTTGTCGCAGAAATCAATTGTTATGAAATTCAAAGTGTCACCAATCTTTAGACTGCACAATTGGATAATGTTACCTATGGTGGGTAAAATGGCGGCTCGTCTCTGATTCCAGCAAAGAGAAGAAAGGAAACAGTGGGGACGCACGTTCAAACCTAACCTAACCTATTCTAATAACTTGGTTGGTAATAATTATGGTAATTTAATAAAATAGGTTAGGTTAGGACAGAACGTGCGTCCCCACAGTTTCCTTTCTTCTGTTTGCTGGAATCAGAGACGAGCCGCCATTTTACTCACCATAGGTAACATTAACTGCACAATTACATCATGCGATCACCAGAAAAAGTATGATAACTTTATTATTTTTCGTCTCCGGTCCAAAAGTAGGGTATCGTTGAAGTCGTCTCGGTCCCCTCAGTTCAGATAG